CAAAGCCTCGTTCAAAACAAAGAAAGAGGGCATTTCAATGAACATCATCCAATGCTATGCGCCTACCAACGACTACAATGAAGACGCTAAAGATCAATTCTACAATAGGCTGCAGTCAATCGTCGAGAAGTGCCCAACAAAGGACCTGACCATTCTGATGGGAGATTTCAACGCCAAGGTTGGAACGGACAACACTGGATATGAAGACATCATGGGACGACACGGACTGGGAGAAAGAAACGAAAATGGTGAGAGATTTGCAAATCTATGTGCCTTCAATAAGCTGGTCATAGGCGGCACCATATTCCCACATAAACGCATACACAAAACCACATGGACTTCACCGGATCACTCTACACAAAACCAAATCGACCATATTTGCATCAACAAAACGTTCAGGAGGACTATAGAGGACGTGAGAACCAAGAGAGGAGCTGATATAGCATCAGATCATCACTTGCTGGTCGCCAAGATGAAATTGAAACTCAAGAAGCACTGGACAACGGGGCGGACAATATCACAAAAGTTCAATACGGCCTTTCTCCAGGATACTAACAAACTCAACAAATTCAAGATAGTCCTCAGCAACAAGTTCCAGGCCTTTCATGATCTACTCAATGGAGAAGGAACTACTGTGGAGAGCAACTGGAAGGGGATCAAAGAGGCAATCACTTCAACATGTCATGAGGTCCTGGGTCACAAGAAGCACCACCACAAGGAATGGATCACTGTTGATACACTGGATAAGATTCAAGAAAGAAGGAACAAGAAGGCAGCAATCAATACCAGCCGAACAAGAGCAGAAAAAGCCAAGGCACAAGCTGAATACACGGAAATAAACAAACAAGTGAAGAGGAGCATCAGAACCGACAAACGTAAATATGTGGAAGATTTAGCAACGACGGCGGAAAAGGCTGCAAGAGAAGGAAACATGAGACAATTGTATGACACGACAAAGAAACTCTCTGGAAATCGCCGCAAACCAGAACGACCAGTGAAAAGCAAGGAAGGCGAGGTAATCACCAACATTGAAGAGCAACAAAACAGGTGGGTAGAACACTTCAAAGAACTCTTGAATCGACCAGCTCCACTGAACCCACCCAACATCGAAGCAGCACCCACGGACCTCCCAATCAATGTTGGCCCACCAACAATTGAAGAAATCAGCATGGCCATCAGACAAATCAAGAGTGGCAAAGCAGCAGGACCGGACAACATCCAGCAGAGGCACTAAAAGCAGACGTAGCGGCAACTGCAAGGATACTCCACATTCTCTTCAATAAGATTTGGGATGAGGAACAAGTACCAACAGACTGGAAAGAAGGACTTCTGATCAAAATACCGAAGAAAGGCGATCTCAGCAAGTGTGATAACTACAGGGGCATCACTCTTCTCTCAATACCGGGAAAAGTCTTCAACAGGGTATTGTTAAACAGGATGAAGGACTGCGTAGACGCCCAACTTCGTGACCAACAGGCAGGATTCCGTAAGGATAGATCGTGTACAGACCAAATCGCAACTCTACGGATCATTGTGGAACAATCAATTGAATGGAATTCATCACTCTACATCAACTTCATTGACTACGAAAAGGCATTTGATAGCGTGGACAGAACAACACTATGGAAACTTCTTCGACACTACGGCGTGCCTCAGAAGATAGTCAATATCATACAGAACTCATATGATGGATTACACTGCAAAATTGTGCATGGAGGACAGTTGACAAAGTCGTTCGAAGTGAAGACCGGTGTTAGGCAAGGTTGCTTACTCTCACCCTTTCTCTTTCTCCTGGTGATCGACTGGATCATGAAGACGTCAACGTCTGAAGGGAAGCGCGGGATACAATGGACATCTAAGATGCAGTTGGATGATCTAGACTTCGCAGACGATCTGGCCCTTCTATCCCAAACGCAACAACAGATGCAGGAGAAGACAAACAGTGTGGCAGCAGCCTCAGCAGCAGTAGGTCTCAATATACACAAAGGGAAAAGCAGGATTCTCCGATACAACACAGCATGCACCAATCCAATCACAATTGACGGAGAAGATTTGGAAGATGTAAAAACCTTTACATATTTGGGCAGCATCATTGATGAACAGGGTGGATCTGATGCAGATGTGAAGGCGCGGATCGGCAAAGCAAGAGCAGCATATTTACAACTGAGGAACATCTGGAACTCAAAGCAACTGTCAACCAACACCAAGGTCAGGATTTTCAATACAAATGTCAAGACAGTTCTACTGTATGGGGCAGAAACCTGGAGAACTACAAAAGCCATCATCCAGAAAATACAGGTGTTTATTAACAGTTGTCTACGCAAAATACTTCAGATCCATTGGCCGGACACTATTAGCAACAACGTACTGTGGGAGAGAACAAACCAGATCCCAGTGGAGGAAGAAATCAGGAAGAAGCGCTGGAAGTGGATAGGACACACATTGAGGAAAGCACCCAACTGCGTCACAAGACAAGCCCTCACATGGAATCCTGAAGGTCAAAGGAAAAGAGGAAGACCAAAGAACACATTACGCCGAGAAATGGAGATAGACATGAGAAAAATGAACAAGAATTGGATGGAACTAGAAAAGAAGGCCCAGGACAGAGTGGGTTGGAGAATGCTGGTCAGCGGCCTATGCTCCATTGGGAGTAACAGGCGTAAGTAAGTATGTTACTGAATAGCTCGTCGAAGTTAGTGTTTGGTGACAAAGGTATAATGCTGAACCATCAACACAAATCATCATTGAAGTTGATCATACAATAACTATAGATTCATGCTCACCACTAGATACTCAACGAAAGTCAGCGAAGATCGATAAAGACAAAGAGAATCTTCGAGACTGTATAACTCGACAACACAGGTGCGGTGAGTATAAAACACTCCTCATCATATTGAAAATACGGTGTTATCATCAGCTAAGACGTTTTCTTCTAACGTTCTACAAAGCAGTTTTCCTCTTTGTCGCGATATGGTGAGTCAATATAGAGAAACATTTAACTTCAACGTAACACTGTGTAGCGGTAAATAAATCCCCAAAATAAATAGCTCTGTAAGTTTTCGACATTGGATTCTGACCACATGTTTTAATGGACTCACCTAGCTGAAGGCGCTCGGTCATGCATCCGCACTAGACCACGAGTGGGAACGCAGTGCTCAACAACTACTGCAATCGCTAGCCAGATTAGATCAGACGATTCTGATATATTGGCAATCGTCATATACAACTTCTGATCTCCTCGATTCTGTCTTTTGATTTCTCTTGATGGGTACGAGTTATATTAGGTGTTACTGGTTAAAGCGTTGTCAAACACTGAATACTTGTGGCATCTTCAACTGCATAGATTTGACAATCGTATCATTGCAAGTCTTACATTAATCTGTGTCTGTTTACTGACTATAATAACTAAGTTGATTAATACCTATCTTTGACTCAAGTTCAACAAATCTGTCGGTCTGGAGGAACTCAGAAACCTAATAGAGCTGAGCAACAAAACTTCAATTAATCTATCCTTCATGTGTCTCATTACCAGGAAATACTATGAAGTTGAGAATGTTTTGAGATATTCACTAGGTTAAGATCCAAGTAACACATAGTGAGATACTATCAGTTTAGAGTAGTTAAAACCATCAGATTCTGTGACTACGTTCAGAAGAGATAGAAAAAATGGGCTGGGCAGAATGTCGTCCCTGATTTGAGCGGGAATTTTCGGCAATAATTAAAGAGTATTATATTTTAGTTATTGGCAAAACAAATTATAATTCCACAATTCATTGTCGGTAGTGTTGTGCTTGATTTTCATGAAGAGTTGGGGGATAGAAGTCAAAACAATATAACGTATGAATTTAGATGTAAATACTGGTAGCCAAGGAAGAGAGAAGACGTTAGAAATTGTGCCAGAAGTAGGTAGATTGTTAAAAGCCTTACTATCAAAACTCTAATGACAGAGTTAGTTGGACAGAGCTTGGCTATAAATAGCTGTTCGCTTGGATATCGTGATAGTAGCCATGAATTTACTGGACATATACCTAATTTACTATGGATAGGAAGGAAAATGAGAATTCTTGACGGATTATAAACAATAGCGGTCCTCAGTAACTCCTTATCAACATCATACATGACCGTTAAAATCTAAGAGGATATACCAAAGTGTCATATAACGTCTAGGGCACAATCGAAGGTGAGGCCGAAACATTAATAAAAGTATTATTACAAGAAATTCCATCGAGTGCCTTAACAACCAGGGAAAAAGACTTGGCAAAAGCTGCCTTTGAAGAAGATAATATCACATTCAGGAAAGGGGGCAATGCATGAACTTTTACAGATGAGATATTAGATAAGTACTGAAAACAGTCCCGAACATTCTTAATGTCAGGATATTCTAGAAAGGACGTCAAAGGGTCAGTCTACATTGATGGTTACAGATTTTCGTTGGATATTAACTTGGTGCTACTTTCTGTTCACTGAATCAACCATCCAAATCTGCCATCCCGTTGAATTATTATCATTCTCTTCAAAAGTAGTAATATTACAAAATAAACGACTTTCAACTAAACAACTAATAAAAATTAATTTGTTGAAACAATATATCTATTAAGGAGATTGTCTTCAGGTGAGAGTTCAATTAGCAAATATTTTGTATGCACATAATCGTGTGACTTATTTCCACAGAATTTTTAGTCATATAAACTAATTGGATAGGGTAATGACTTAGCAAAGTTTTATTTTGTTTAAACCTTTCAATAAACATCAACTTTCAAATTCTCTGTTTCGAATGTTAAGTTTGCGGGAGATTTAGTCACCCTAAAGTAGTTCAAGAGTTCCTAACGTTACGATTTACTGACCACATAATAAAACTGATTTTTGAGCTTGCTTTAATGCGAAACTATGTTAATCTGGTTACATTGCAAAGCATTCGGACTAATATTTGATCTAAGGATACTATTTTAATTGAAATATTAGTATTTTACTTTCTATTACATCTGAGTAAATATATAAAAATGCGTGAACGCTTCTCCACTGAAGACAGCAATAATTCTTCTACGGAATTTGGTTGCTCTGTGCATGAACTGCAGGGGCTTATGCAGTTGCGTGGAGCTGAAGCAGTAGAAGTTGTGAATAAAAGATTTGGTGGAGCTTCTGGATTGTGTAAGCGTCTTAAAACCTCTCCAACTCAAGGTTAGTTGGCGATTTTTTTCAAAGCGTGTACTTACGTAATGTCAGACAAGCCTTTTCATTTGCTTTTTCATCATCTGGTTACTAGTTCTTTTACCAAGTATTTTGGTGCTTTGAACTAATGATTTAATTTTGAAATTGTGTTTCACGATTTTGTCGTTAGAACATAGATAACATTGACATTCAAAATACCTAATCAGGATGTGTACCATATAGTTAAGCAGATTATTTGGAGTCTTCTAAGAGCTGACTTTTTAAGTAAAACAAGATAGGAGATGAATTAAAGTACTAAAAAATGTTAAATTTCATTTATAACCATTTATAACCATTTCCATTACTTTTAAGTCATTTATGTCTTCTGTCATCGTAAGTAATTCGAAGATAAATTTAGTCACTGAATAACTTTGTCTGCAGAGCCATTGAAAATCACTCTGAATTAAACATACGTTTCGTGCGTGTATACGCCTCCTCGGCGGTCTACCTTTGCTTTTTCGTAGAATGTCGGAACCAGAATATTCAGGATTAGTAAGGAGTGTTCTTTTTTCTGACTACTAAATCAGAGAAACTAAAAACTCGCTTTATTTCATAAAACTAATTGATGATCTCAAGACTCAGTGGTCTATAATCCTACGGATCGTTTAGGCACAGAAATAATTGTCTGCTTTCTTATGCTTGTTTATGAACAGGTCTTATTAAGGCATCACAAAGGGTTTACTGACTTGGGCGTTTTCGGATTTGTTAACTCAGTGACTGAATAACGTTCCCAGTACTAATTTTTCCTGAAAACTAATCGTGAAAGTTCTCAAAATTCCTGACAAAGCATATTGGCTCCAGAACTGATTTGTTAATGATACATTGACTGCAAAGATAATGGTATTGAGGAGAGTATGATAGGTATATACGTTTTAGTTTGCGCCACATGGTTGTCTGTAAACTGGTAAGGGTCAATTGCAATCAATAACCTCAATCTTTCTCCAATTTCTGACAGCTAAGATATCGATTTTCATACTCAAACCTCATTATGCCCGTTAAATATAGTTTTTGAAGAGCTCAAAGATCAGATATCAGTATACTTCAAATTAATTTCACAGGTGAATACAACAAAACAGGGTTTATACAGCAAAAATAAAATCGATATTTGAATTACTGCTCGTGACTATTTATTGGCATGTTTGTCAAAAAGGGGTCAGAAGGGGTAAATAATTAATTTTATTCAGAACAATGCTGTCAAAATTTTGATTACAAGCGCAAACAATCATTTCCATCCACACTTAACTAGCTATCCAAAGTTGATTTATTCACGTGGTCAAACATAATCATATCTGACTATAGGCGTAGCCATGGCTGTAATTAGAATGTTCATGAACGGTAGCACAGTTAGATGTACAACTCGTAAGCTAGAACCCTACATAACATTTTTGACTACAGCCAACAGATGAAGAAAAGGTACTGATGGATTCATACTGAGTAACTAAGTTTGACAATCAAAACTTAGGATTTGTGTAAAAAATCTTTGATATATTACGAAACTATAAACTTCGTGGAGCTCAAGTCGTTTTGCAATGGAGTTCTCAAAAAGATTTAAATTACAGCCACCATTGGTTCTCACATGTTGTAAAGCATTTGTGAAGTTCATTTTAATATTCTCAACATTTTTTATTGAGATGTTTGTGAACAGCTGTTCACTTCCAACCGAGAAATAAATAAAGATTTACTTGAAGTTGCAGATATCAACTCAAGTCGCGTTCTCTGTAATACTGTGTTGAGTATATTATCTTGTCTAAAGTCATGGTTTGTTCTTTGATTGCAGTTTTATAAAAACGTTTCGGAATGCTTTCTCACTGTTTGTCTCTCCAGATATATGTAAGTGTATCCATTTTTACGAAACATAAAAACATATCACCGTTAGACTAGGAACGTTACTGGTCCAATCCACATCTATAGTTCTAGACCTGATAAATTTAAAAGAAAAGAATTAAGGCAAAGTTTACTAATTTGAAAGCAGAAGATAATATATGGACCTATCCTTTCACATCGTTGAGAGATTGCGTACTTTCTGATATCTGATAAAGGAAGTGAAATTTTGTTAGTAGAACGTTTACCTCAACTTTATGTTTTGTTTCCATTCCTGCATAAACCTACAAAACTTGATAGTTTGTAGGGCCTGACTAACAATCTTTAGATAACCACTTAAGATTATTTATAACAAGAAAAAATAAAACAGTGAAGCCTTGATATAATGAGTGAATACCAAGTGAGGGATTATACTCAAATGAGGACTGTGTCTCATGATATAAGTCGTTTGCGTCTTTCGGTTATAATTTAAATGAGTAAAAGACAGGGAGTGATATAAAATTTATGAATGAGAGAATAATATTGACCTGTTTTCAAGTAGACCTCTTGTAAGTTTGCGTCGTTTTGTCATATTTGGTTGTCTTTTTCGAACTATAAGCTTGGATGTTTTGGGTGATAATACGAAATGTCATATCTGCGGTTTATGTCATTATAGGTTTTCTTAAGTGATATCTGTTGAATAAAAATTCCCATCATCAACGAAATAAACTAGAAATTTTAGATCATGTAGTAGAAGTAGTTAAATTAAACGCAATTGAACAAGACTGTGGTTTGAAAAAATTATTCGAAAATTTTTCTTCAAGGTGTAGGAACGTTTAGTCGACTAGATTTAAGGGGAAAATATTTGGTCGCAGCGATGGTCAAAAAAGTAAAACATTTTAAAGTAGTGCCACTAATTTGTTTAAAATTTGTTACCAGTAACTATTATGGTAAAAAAGAGTTATGAATATATGTTGTTCGTAAATGCTGCCAAAATAGTCATTATTGACGCACCGTGTCACGTAGGTCTTTTGAAACTCAGATATTTTTAACGGTTATTTCTAATACAGTGCAGATTTTTATTTGACTTGTGTTGGTTGTTTTTAAACTATAAAAAAATTCAACCATATGTAAAATAAGCGTATCAGTCTCTTAAATCTGATTGCTGTTAGTGCTGAAAAATAAGACTGAATATGGTAGCTATTATTAAAACCAGTACAAGATATTTTTTACAGAAGAAAACTGGGTTCGGACACTGGAACACAGATACGGCAGTTGGAAACATACGAAGATGCAATCATAAGTTGCCTAGAAGTCGGAAAATTTTGATTGATGCCTTAGTTGTTTGTCGCTATTGGCTGGAAATGTAATCTGATTTTATGGCATAACGATTCAGTTGATTTGGCGAATGACTCAATGCAAATAAGAAATTTTTAGGAACACGCTATTTTACTATCCACAAATGCATTTGATAGTTTGGGCTTACATTTAAGTGGTAACTAGAAAGATTGGGCTTACGTTCTGATGACGTGTGAAGATCGTAATTAGGAAAATGTTTTTAATTAATATGCGTTACTAAATTTTTATTTTGTTCAGAGGTATTCATTATGAACGAGCGGCTAATGGTTCCCAACATGACGTTTTTGAAACTAACTTGACTTAGGTTAATAAATAACATTAAATAACACGTGAGCTTATTTTAATCTTCCTAGAAGCCAGAGGATACGCTCTAGAATCAGAAGGCCATGTCACTTTTCTCTTCAAACCTGATTCTTAACTTTTTTTTGAGTAACAACACACTTTATTAATTCCTCATATGTTCTATATGAATAAGCAGATTCAGTGAATTTTCTCATCTATTGAAACTTCAGAAGTTAATTAATTTAGTTACCAGTATATTGAGTAATGTGTTATGATCAACAAAGATTTTAAATACCACTGTTTTAAATGATGAAAGCGATGTTTTAATGTTTAATAAGTACTACTTTAAATAAATTGGTCAGGTTGTACTAACCAGCCCTGAGAAAGTGAGAGTGACTAAAAGACTAGCTATTCATAACTAACCAGTAAGTCTCAATTTTCCTTTGAAATGATAATTCGTAAACATAATAGTTTGTAACTACAAATGGGTATAAGAGTAGGACAGAGGTTATAAAAATGGTATATATATATATTCCGGTATTAAGGAAATTAGGAGGCGTTTGAAAACAAGGTTTTTAAACCATTAGTAATTGGCAGTTAAACGCATTAAAGTCTCTTTAGTTATAGGATTGCATTATTTAATATTTATCATATAAGTTACTTAAATACTTGCACAAGTCGTTATTTTGCTATGTCCATAGTTTGATGTTGAATATCTGTCTATTAACTATGTCTTCCTTTTGTCAATTACAGTGTTAACACTGTTGTTACTTATTGGATCAAACAAGAAGTACATGGAATATATCCAAATTAAGTTCAGAAATATAACAATTAAATTTATCCTTTGTTATGATAAAGAATTGGTGTAGTGCATTGAATGAAGATTGATACACCAAAGTTATATTTAAATGTCAGTGAAAGGCTAGTGCCAATAAAATTAAATCAACCGAGTTAAATAAGCAAAACGTTCTGTTGATCACTACATCCCTTTTACTGTGTTGGGGATCAATAAGCTAATGCTTTATTTTGACAAAAGCATTGGGTTCCAATGGTACAACTTGTTGTAGTCTTATATATACAGTTTGTACTTTAGAGAGTAATTAAACTCTAAATGAGCAACTATTTTCTTCCGATGGAATGTGACTAATAAAATGCCCCCGGATGCCCGGGTACGGCTGAGAGTGTGGGGGGGAGTTTGCTCTTCCTCTCTAAATGCTCTCACATGACCACACGTATACAGATACTGCCAAGAAAGTCCTATTCACCACTTTCTCGTGGTGGGGTTGTTGTTTACGAAATTGATAGGACGCAAGGCGAATTGCCAGAGCTTTAACCGAGTTCGTGAACACAAGGGGTCCACCTGGGGGTGTTGGAAAACCCTGATTCTAAACCAATGATGCACATAAGCTCCAGGATCCTGATGGAACAAATGGAATATGAACCAATTGTTGGCCACCGGCTACCATGGGATTGCATCTCCTAAAGTTGATTCACTGCTTTGTGGATCAGACCTTTAGGTTGAAAGCTGCGGGTGTTACCCCTAAGAATACAACCTGCTTCGATATGGGCACCTGGGTAGTATCACAGCCCACACACATACCAAGTGACTTGTGTGGCGCATATATATTCGGTGCCCGTTTGTACCAATATTTATATGTTCAAATAGTAAATAAATAAGATTAATAACATGATATTACCATTTAATCAGAATTAACTTGTGTTTGTCTATTAAGACTCGTTGATAAAGGTTTCTGAATTGACAGGTAACAATTTTGTTAGTTAAAATTTGTTTAAGTAAAAAATTAATCTTGATTGGATTTAATTGTTAGTAGATAATACTCTTAAATGTGAATCCAAGTGTGTTTACTATGAAGAATAGTGTAACAATATACTTTCCTTCTATAGTAAAACCAGGTTATGTAAATATATATATATATATATATATATATATATATATATATATATATATATATATATGGTTGTTATAACTAAACTTTTGGCTCTTTGTTTTATAAGTGTTAAATTTATTTTTATGTACCTAATAAAATAATGAACGTAAATCTAACAGTTTAATAATGACTCACTACGAATAAATAAGAATTAAGTCAGTCACTCATCGATAACATTGTATCATAGTCATACTACACAATTGATTGACAAGTTAAACATTTCAGCGAATTTAATTTCAACTCAGTGATTCAATGGTACCGTTTTCACCATACAACCTAAGTTTGATTCAATGGCAAACTTGTGATGTGTATTGAATGAATAATTTCAAGTGATAATGAAACATTTCCAGTGTTTCTTGGTTTTTAATAGATTTTCAACTAATTACGGTTTGTATTTATTTAAAATTTTTGTTAGATTTAAAGAGGTTGAAAAATAAAAGTCAAGACATTAGATAACAAATATATTAGAATATCAAAAATAAATTGTTAGTTTTAATATTTTTAAATAAAAAGCTTTAAAGATAAAAAACGACTTTTAGTTTCTAAATGAACAGTTATTTTTATTCTTTAGATTATCTAAGATCAAAGAAGTGATTAGTTCAAACCTGTCATCATTCTGTTTCTCTCTTTTTAAAAATCAGAAACTTCTTTTCGTTGTTTTTTTTATACTGATAAATAATAGCTTGTAGAACAAAAATAAATCTTATAATTTTTTTCTCAAACAAAATGTCATTTACCGTATTGTCTATTTCAATGATTTCACTTTCAAATTAAATCTAGGTGGCCATTACTATTAAATAATAGTCAACATCCATTCGTCGATCATTACTTTACTATTTAATTAGTAATTTTTCATGTCATCTTTTAGGTTGATATACAGATTTGATTATTTTCTAGATTAAAAAAAAGTGAGTGAATGTCTATCAAGTAAATAATGAATGATTTAGATCTATAAAGTATGAATTATTGATTGTAAAAAAAATATTCTACACGTTTGTTTTTAATTTGATTTCTCTGTTATTTTAATTATCTATCATAATTTCCAAGAAGTAAACATTCTATCATATGATAAGTATTTCTCTCTTTTACTTGAATTTTCAACACTTTTATTTTGATAAGATTTAAGAACTTACACTGTAAACATTAATATAGATGTTTTTGAGTAATACTTATCAACATTTGTTACACATACACAATATTGTTTTCTCTCGATCAAAACTTATCAATTATTTTACTAGTTTAGGAAGCTAATAAGATTAGTTTTTTTTTGATATAATTTTTTTGACTATGAATTCCATGATATTAGGAGGGAAACACTGAACAAGAATGATCAAATCATTTTATAATGAATCAGTGAAATGTCTTATTCTATAAGTTTATAGTACAGTTAGTTTGCAAGTAATTACTGTTTTCATGAGTGGTGTAGTTATTCAATATTGTAATGTTATGTGATTATTGGTTTGACTCTAGAAATTATTTTTTTAGTAACGTTAATATTTCTTTGATATTTTGTTATCAATATATCGAGAGACAATAATATCAAGTTCAGTTACCTTTACTCTGAAATTAAATTCTTAAGGTAACTGACTAAAAATAGATAATTGATTAAACTCTCACAAATCTTTTCGGAAAGTCACCTTAAATAAGCATTTAAAAGATACAGTGCATCACATACTTCGATACTTTTCCACATTTAATAAATTCCAAGAAGCTTTGCTTTTATTTTCCTTAATTTATTTGTTCTAGGGAGACGTGTCCAGTAAATTCGATTTATACATTTAGTTTAGTGCATAAAATGAATAACGGATAACTACATAGTGTTAATACAATATGTTGACAGGATCCCTTCATTTTTCTAATTCAACAGTCTATTATAGGTGATTGTAAGAATGACAAAAATCCAATTTGTCCCAAAGTTTGCAGATAAGCGTAGTTGTATTGTACAGTGTGTGAAGTTTTGCTAAATTTTACATCAGTGTCCTTATTTGAGTTAGAAGCCCTAAATTGATAGTAAATTAATTGATGAAGTAAAGTCAGTTTAGGATTTTTATTACACAAAACAAAGTATGTTTGTTATATTTCCACTTTAAGGAGTCGGTGATCAGAAGATTTCTTTATATTCCTAGTTGATAATTTATCTTAATAGTAAAGACAAATCCCAATTAAGTTTAATGTCTTAAATTAGTATATAGCTTAGTAGTGGGTTAACTTTACAGCATGTTTCATGGGAAAAATGAGTCACGTATTGGTTGGTGAAAGCTTATTTCGCTAATTATTTCTTTCCTAATAGAGTAAGGCGTTGAACTGCTTTAGTTCCGTTGAAAAAGTTATATCTTCAAGATATATTGTTGAAATTAATGCTCCGATAATCTGTCAGCCTAATAAAATCCAAAAAACAGTAACTTCGATAATTATGTATCAAACAGTCTTGATTGATTGTTTAGAATAGTTTATATAGATAAACTTGTAATGTGATTTTTTCAACCATTTCTTTCATGATGAAGTATAGTAGTGTGCATAACTGATAAGTTTCAAGCCAAGGGGAAATATTTGTTCATTGATCTTCGGTATTCAATACTTTCCTATTCATTGTCGATTCATTATAAAATGTGATTTCAAATAACAAATGAAATAATACGACATTCTCTTCTTAAATCAAAATAACAAGTAAATTTATATGTTTATGAAAACGACAATTTAGAAGTAAATTATCATTATTTAACTATATTTTATCCGTTACCGAAATTCTTGTAATAACGATCGTTGAAGGAGATTCTAGGAATAATCATTTCTTACTGTTATTATTATGTGAATCTTTTAGGAGTATAAATCTTGTATCTTATTTTTAAGTGAATATTTATGTCAACTATTATGACCATACATAATAATAATATCTTCGAACTTCTGTTGACAATAGTTAAAGACTGGTGATATGTTCACATTGTTCAATAAAACTATGTTGTTTATTTTCTTAAATTACAGTTTATTCATGATTTTGTTGAATTTCCTTTTTTGTTTAAATTTTAAGGATTATCAAGTCATGATTTGGCAAAACGTCGTGAAGTCTTCGGGACCAATATAATACCCCCAACACCTCCAAAAAGTTTTTTTCAACTTATGTGGGAAGCTTTACAGGATGTAACATTGATTGTTTTAATGGTGGCTGCAGGTGTATCACTTTTACTGGCATTATATTCTAAATGTAAGTTATCATTATTAAAATTTGATTGATGAAATATTTTTCTTCTCCAAATTACTACTAAACAGTTTACACTCTATCCTTAAGGAGGAGAAATCATATTTGTAAAATCTCAACGATTAAATCTTAAGTAAATCAAACATTTCGTTCAGCAATCAGGTTCAAGCTTTCTTAACGAAATATAATCAAACACTTAGATTATTGAATATAAATAAGTACATAGTTCTCCGGTTGATTTTATAATAAACAGGTCATTCAATCATATTAATAACTACTATGAAACTTCGTTTAAATTTAGACGAAAGTTTTTATAATAGTATATCAGTTTCAGTATAAAAAAGGAGTTTTCACTTGTAAAGTACTATTAGTGTTCACCGTATTTCATTCAGTATAAGCTTTTACAGAAGATATAATCTTTAGAATAACTTTCACACTCTTGAATAAAGTAATTAGTGATTGTTGTAAGTATATTATTTTTCACAATAGTAAGTAGAACTTCATTCGTTCATTGCAAATGGAATTAATATATTGTTACAGTTATGGAATATTAACAAAAAAACTTAGTATTTAAAAACAATCTATAGAATCAAATTATTGGATTGAAGAAATTCAGTTGAAGTAAAGATTATTTCAATTTATGGTTAATACTAGTGAAAGAGAAACCTTTTACATAATAAAAATTAGTCAGCATCTCTTTCATTCTATTTCCTATGGTTGAATGACTGACTATCTGCACATGAACTCTTGGAACTTGCAACAAATATGTTAGTCATAAGGTAATTCCGATCAATTTCAACAGGTAACAGCAACAGATTATAAGTTCCTGTTCATTTTAGAAAATAAAATATTTGGCCAAAATATTGAAATACATGATGAGCATCAGGATTAACCATAACACTCTTAAGTTTCAACTCCGAATAAATCTGTTTGAAATGGTAATAATAAACCACGATTAATATTGTCGACTAAGTATATTGTCATGGTTGTTTGAGAACACGTCAAATTACACGCTAAATTGACTACGATTGAAAATATTAGACACTGACATGAAACCCTATGTTTCTTAGGGTAATATGTTGTTTATTGAGATCAAAAGTTTGGTCGTGAGGGGAGTATGATACCATACCGTTAATGACATGTGAGTTAAGACAGAATATATGCATAGTACTTCGTAATTTCTGGGCAGTGTTTTAACTAAAGTTAGCTTGTTATGCAGTAATTAAGTATACATTTAGATATGTTTATTGTAAATTAGATATTTGACATTGTTTGACATATTTAGTTATAGGTTGGGTAATGGCAGGAATTTGGGTTAGCTTTTTGTTCAATCATATATATATATATATATATATATATATATATATATATATATATATATATATATATATGTCTGTAATTTCCTGTCTTCTCATCAACTAACCTGATATAAATCCTATAGGAAAAACCTACGAGATTTCTACTATTGTAATTATTTTAACTGTTTTTCATCCACATAATATCGATTAACTGAATGGATTAGGATAAATATTAGGTTTTTATTGATGGAACCGATCTTTTGCTTGAATTAACATTACCATTATTTCATTTGCTTACTGTTCTTTTTGCTAATTTTGTTTCGCCGTACTGATGTGGCATGAGGACTTGAACTAACGTCCATTTTCCCTATGATAATGACTGATTGGTTGACTTGGATTGTGGAATGGTATTAATGTTACGACAATGGAATGAATATATATAATGTATGCCAATTTACAAGCATAATCAGGTTGATACTGAAAACTATGTTATACGTAAAGGACAGAGATTTGAGTTTCAATTGTTTGAAATGATGCACTTTATAAATTCTTTAAAAAACATTTGTCGCAAGAATTACAACAATCTAAGGCAGCAATTAGGAGCCAGTAATTCTTTGTAGGTTGACTAGAGGGTTCTGTTGATGTATGAATAGCTTATTTCAGATCATTTACAATGTCATTGCAGCGCAATCGTAGTCATCTATAGTTAGAAAAACAAAACAAAGCACAGAGTGCAGAACAAAAGCGGCAAAAATTAATGTGATGGGCTTGTCATTGTACAAGTGCTAAGTTGTTTTATGATCTACCGATTGGGATAGATATTAAGTTAGTCATAGGCAGTGTAAGTGTAAAATATTCACGAGGCATGTTTAACAAGTACACTCAATAATAACAATTGTCAAACATCCTATAGTTCTACTCGTCGAATAGGATATAAACAGTTGCATTCACTTTTACGGCTGATTCAGAGGGAAGGTAAACATCGATGCAATCAACAAATAATGGAAGTGATTTTATTTCAAGGATAGATTGTGAAAAATCGTTCCAGAATTTGAGAAAGTTACTAGTATAGTGATTTATATAGAGAAAAGATTAAGAGTGAAACGGTTTCACTAATGACTAAGAGTTATGAATGTTGTAACTAGGTGTTTCTGCAAATTGGATTTTATTAGTGGATATGAAATTTATTTGATTTAGTATTTTGAAGGAAAAAATTAGATTTCTTTTAAATCTTTGATTCAAAAAAGAGTTAAGTCTAAGTTTTTTGGATCTGGATTTGTGGTTTAACGTAATATCATTTCCGAGGATGCAAAGTGTAGGTTGTCACTTGACAGATTTCAACTTACGTTTATCTTTTACTCAAATGCTACTCAAAGTAAGAGTACAATATTCTAGGAGTGATCAGACACATGCTTTGTACATCAAAATAAGTCGTTTATAGTCATAGAGATTAAGAAGTATAAAACCTAGGAGTTATTGGGACTTGAAAGTCTGTTTGAAAATCTGTTACGAGGAAAAATTATCGGGATATTGGAATCCTTAGTCCACCACCGTATAAAACGACAATAGTATTTGTGCTACCATATGATTATACTATTTGCTTCAAATCTGTTTAAATATTTGCTCATAATATTTGTGTAACAACCACAAAGTGTATCTCATTATGGTCAGAACAGAATTCTAGGATCTGGATTCATTAATAAGGTACACTTACATCTAAAAAAGTACTCGTAATTCCATCGTATACATTCGAAGACGAATACTATTATGTATATAATGGATGTGAAACATTATTAATTCTATAGATAGGCTGTGCGTTGAATTCACCGTTTGAACGCTAACGATACTTTAAGGATGTGGGGTTGAAACTCACAACACGACATCTTAAAGGTTGGATGCTTTACATTTTGAATTCATGGCTCAATTTAAACATACAAACTAATGGTGAGGAAAATTTAATTTTAATACAGAAAAAATGACAGTATTTAAATTCATAAACTTATATAACATTGGAAGTTGATAATTGTTATGCCTATAGAATTAAACTTGGTCGTTCCATCATAGTTTAATTATTATCAAAATGGTATTTACTCGGTTGAGTTCTTAATTTTTGTAAGAAACTGTTTGTTTCTATTTCATCTCTTTTACGTCTTTCATTTATCCTCTCTTTCTCTCCAATAAAAACAAACACGTTGAAAAGACATTAAGAACGTACATTTTTTGTTTTGCACATATGCCACTTTTGTTACATTTATTCTTTACTTTTTTTTACCTTTTAATTTTTAATCATCTCTTGCAGTTTTTCTTCTCTCATTATCTTTGCATGTGAATGTGTACGTATGTGTTAATTGGTTTGTATTTTAAAAGCTTAGGTAAAATGTCATAGAATCTTTCAATCACTAATGAAAACCAATTCTGAAAAGACGATATAGATAAAAAACACTATGTGGAGTAAGAAGAATTCAGTCGATTGATTCCTCAAATTCATCATTTTATTTAGTAAATAATGATATGTTGAAAATGAAAAGTAGGAAGTAAGTATTCCAATTAACATGAAATCAATTGATTTCTCAGTTATTAAGCATAGGGGAAAAGTGTACAGAGGGAGAGAGAGAGAGAGAGATAGAGCTCCGGCTTACCTCCCCTCCTGAAGAGGGATTCATTTTCATTTTGGAGTTTAATTCGTTCTTCTTGTTGAAACTTATGTTTAAATCAATCGAAAATTCATAAAACATGATGGAATAATTCCTATAGACATGAGACGTTGTGTTTAAGTTTCAGCACAAAATTTTTGTACCGGATAATTTTTAGAATAAGTTTTATAGAATAAACTAAGTAAAATTTTTATTTCGCTAAACGTTAAACTCTGTATTATGCAAGTTATGATCTATGAAATAACATAGAATATCTAGTTAGGTTGCTTGTATAAAGCTGTGCAATTTAAAGAGTTTATTTGTGAAAGTCTGACTTCAGTCAGAGAACTATTGGAGAATAAACCCATGGTCTTTAGGTTTTGCTCCATACATGATACTATTCACTCAGCAAATCGGAGCTCAATGTTTTCAACTTTAGTCAGAGATATAAATCGTGTTTATCATTGACTGAGTTCTAGATGGATATCTTAAATATTTAGCTCAAAGTTATTAATTATGGAGTCAACCAAGTTCAAAGTAAGACAGTTGTCTACCTACTATAGTTAATCGAGAATCAAATATCTCAGAAAATCAATAAAGTTTGGAAAAGTATATTATCAGATCTTAATGTAATGGATGAGCAAGACTGAACTCATCTAAGGACTGTGTTGGCCTGGGTTTGCTCTTAGGTTAGTTTAGATGTGTCTCTTAAGAACTAGACCTTCAATGATCATTTATATCAATTCTTCAATAAAGAATATCTTAAAACATCGAACAGCATTTTTTAGCAAGTTTCTAGATAGGTGTGCATTTCCGTTAATGTTGATCTTCGGAGCAATTTGTCCAGTATAAAAACCCAGCTAATTTTTCTTTGAGGCATGGGAATAGCGAGTGGCTTTACTGTATTACTTTAGAAAAAAGTTTGCTCAAGGTTCTTGATGAGTGGTTATTTCAAGATACGATGTTTTTGGGTAAATTAACGTGAAGATGATTTCAAACAGATTGTTGTTTTACATGAAGTGTTGTTTGTTTCCGTTAACAATGAAACTAAAAAAATCATTTATGTAGACCTGAA